GTGCTACTTTAATAAAATATTATGAGAGAGTACTTAACTTGCTAAAACAAAAGGTTTAGCAAAACTTTTAGTGGGTGCCACTGAAGTTTCTGGATGGAGGCCTATGCAACTTCTGCATATGCCTGAGGTGGGTCATTTTACTTAAAGATTCATTAAGTTTTACCAGTTCCTAAGGGGAAAGGGATTGGCTTTTAGAATTTGTTCTTAAATTGTGTCCCAAATTTATCAAGATGAAAACATTTTGGTTACAAGGGGAAGAAGGACAATGATACTCTAGTGAGCTATTGAGCTACTTGATTGTGTCTCAGGGAACCCAGCTACATGCCCAAATGCCTACACAGCCACACACATTTAGCTAGTAGTTGAGTTGAAGTTCTCTTAAAAACATGACAAAATAGAAGTCTCTGATTCCTTGGAGATATTTTCTTCTTCTCTAAGCTGGTTTGTGATTTGATCCCCATGTTTTTTTTCATGTTCTTTCAATTGTATTGCAATTGTAACGTTTTCTGCTAGATAATATTCCCTACTCATAACTACTTTGACTTTTGTCTAGTTGTGAAATGATGTCCCCGCCTCAATGGTGAACTAGCAATAGCAAGGGAATAGCTAAGGCTGAATATGTGCTTTCTGTGATGCTTGTTAGAAAGAGTAGTGTGTCCCAGACATGGGTGTCAACGAATAACTCTTGGTACACAAGGGAAGTGAGCAATTCCTGTACTTCTTTTTCTTGTAGTGACAGGGTTTATGCATTTTGTAAGATACCTGCCCAAGAATAATTTTCAGTGATACTTTTCTTAGCTTTTTTCCTTTGTGCCTATGATTCATCCATTTCAGTCCCCGAGTTGCTCAGAGAATGTGCATCACACTGTTCAGCTTACAGGTTTCATGTTTATATAAAGAGCTTTCTGCCTTGTATTGAGTGATTTAGTGGTTTCCATAATTTGTACCTACACCCTGGTATGTTATTAACATCTTCCTAGCCATGAATTCAAATCATAACACTGTGAGGGCAGCTATGAGGAAAAGTAGCTCCATCATATTCAGGCCCAATACAATCTCCACCCTTTATGCCCTGTGGTTTGCACCAAGCTCATGTTCCACATAATTTAATACACACACATATATACATCAGTTTGTAGCATTAGATTAGTTGTTTCTCATTGCTTCTTACTGTGTTATTTGGGCTTTTAGCACATATTGTGGAGGTTCATTGTGGAAGTTTTTTCTTCCCCTGGAACAAAATGTTCCACTTATGACAGTCATTCAGGCAAGTTTTCCGTTCTTTTAATATATATTTTATAAAAACCTCTCAGGCCCATTTCTATTTAGATACTTTTGCAGAGTAACAATTGTGTGGATAAGAATAAAGGGTAACCAGTTCTCTGAATTCCATTTTCTGACACATGCTCCTGAAACCTGTTTCACAAAGACTAAAGCAACTAAGTTGTGACTTTTGAGTCTATAGGTGTCATTGAGGTAATAACTTGTTTTCTGTGCATTTGCCTCATATTTGTGAAAAAGACATGGATCTGAAATGTGCCCTTTTTCATCTCCACTTCATAATGTCACAACTTACATCATTATAAGATTTAGTATGTGCAGTGCATCTTTGGCAAGATGCTGAACTACTTTAAAAGCATCTCCCTTGATTTTGTCAGGAATCAGAATTTCTCAATACTTCAGAAAAAGATGCTTTTCTGTAGTATGAAAAGATCTTGCTTGGTGTGAACTAATTGACTCAAATGCAGAAGAGAAACTGTGTGATGGTTTAGACCGTTTATTTCAGCCTTTGGTTCCTCAGTTGAGGAGGATTTAATGAATAGATTAGTGGAAATACCTAAGGTCTCTTTAATGTGTGAATACTATAAGTGCTTTTTTCCTTTCACTTCCATGCGGGTGAGTCCTGCCTGATGAGCACAGTGGCCCTCTATGACTGGGTGACTATATCAGTAGACAAGGAGAGGCTACAGATTTCATTTATCTAGACTTCCATAAACATGACATGGTTCCCCTCAACATCATTCTCTCTAAATTAGAGAGGTGGATTTTTTGAGATTACTGTCAGATGAATCTGAATGTGCTTGAATGGTCACATCCAGAGGGTAGTGGTCAATGGCTCGGAGTTCCAATGGACATCAGTGATGAGTGATGTTCCTCAGGGGTCTGTATTGTGACCAGAGTTATTTCACATCTACATTACTTGAAAGAGATGAAGGGGTTGAGTGCTGCATTAGAAAATTTTCAGATGATACCAGGCTGAGTGGTGCTGTTGCCACACCTGAAGGGTGGGATGCCATCCAGAGGGACCTGGGCAAGCTTAAGAAGTGGGTCAATGTGATTTAGCAACACCAAGTGTGAGGTGCTGCAGCTGGGTTTGTATAACCCTGGTATAAGGGATGAACAGATCAGAGCAGCCCTGCCAAGTGGGACTTGGGGTGCTGGTGGGAGACAGGATGGACCTGACCCAGCAATGTGCACTTGCAGCCCAGAGAGCCAAACAATTAGATACTGGGAAAGGGTTTTTCACCAGATTGTGGTTGGGCACTGGGCTCCCCAGGGAAGTGGTTCCAGCATCAAGCTTGACAGAGTTCAAGAAGTGTTTGGTTAAAGCTCTCAGGCACCTGGTGTGATTCTTGTGGCTGTCCTGTGCAGGACTAGGAGCTGGACTTTGATAAACCTAGCAGGTCTCTTGCAACTCAGCATATTCTATGATTTCAACAAATCTTGTCATTTATAGCTCTATAATTTTACACAAGTTCTCAATTTCTGTGTAAACGGATGTGTTAGGTGCAAAGCTAAGAAAAATAATGGTTTGGTTTTTTCTTTCTACTTGAATAAATACAAATGAAATGTTATAATGAAAATATCTGAGTCAATTTTTCTCAGTTATATCAGAGTGAACCTTGTGTGATTTAATTAACTTTGTTGCAACAGTTGAAAAGAAGGCTGTATTTGGTCCCAAATAGTCTCTCTCTCAGACCATCTTGTGAATTCCATGTTAACCTTGCCAGGAAAGCGAGGCATTGTACTTTTCTATTGAGAGAACCGGGAGACATTTTGAGAGTCTTTCCTAATCAAGTTGGCTATTATTATTAGCAAAGCTTTTTTCATCTGCCAGTCATTGTGTTACGCATTTTTTGTTACATTTTGATTCTAAGCACATTGAAGCAGTGGTTTTGTTTTCTGTTGTGGGAGATGCACAGTGGGTCTTACTCCATAAGAATTTAGGATTGTATTACTAATTTAAGAGAAGTAAGTATAGTGGTTATATATTAGGATTATAATATAAGAATTTATTTTATCATACTGATATCATGAGACATATCCATGCCCTGTCATGGTTTGCGGTGCCCTGTTTACCCAGTGCCTTCCTCAAATATACAGTTTGATATATAAAAAGAGCTATTGATTTTTTCATATTAGAATGGTGCAAACATGTTTGTACTTTGATAGTAAAAGGCCATAGATTATATGGTGGTGGGTAATAAAAAAGTTTAACAAAAGCTCTCAACATTTGTGGGAAAGCAAGTAGAAAGGGATCCTTCTTTGCCTTCCTCCCCCCTTCCCATTTCCAGTAAAAGCTTTTCTGGGGTGTTCATTGAGGAAAATGCTGAGCTTTACAAATATATATTTAATGATTTCTATAGCTTAGAGACTGACTGCTTTCCCTCAGAGTAGACAAGATTCATCTACTTTTTTTTTCTATCTCTTTTCCCATTATCTCTTCCTCTTCCCCCCCACCTAAATTCTTTGAAATAAAATGTATTATCAGCTATTTCTTAGTGTTATTTTAAGACATTCATATTAATTATTTAAGGGCACAATACATAATTATAATCTTGAGCTGACATTTTCTGCTTTGAATCTGTGTTAGAGTAATGTTTTTTCTCTTGTTGAGTGCCGAAGAATTTTCTTCAATTCTCATCTTTAGGGTTTTATGAACAAACCTAGTTATCCCCTTTCCATCTGCAGAATTTGGGACAAGCCTTCTAACAAAAGAGGAAGAGCTGGAGACTAGTGTTTCTCAGCTTTAGTGGCCTAACTTTAACACACTTTTCTTATGGAAGTCGTGGTAATTTGATAGGACCATTTCCAGACTGCCTTACAAGTACAGTCTCCACATAATAGTCATAACAGTCTTGCTAGAGGAGCAAGAGAAAAGAAGTGGAATTTACAAATATGGGCAGAGGTTGATGATGAAACTGACACCTCTAGCACTATTTGATCTACTGGAGAAAGATGGCAAACTCCAAATATTTCAAGGGATTGAATTTCATCAGTGTCTTACACTGCAGTAGTGTGATTTTGTGAGGCATTCAGTGAAGCTGTGGTAGAAGAGAGCAAAATCCATTTTATTTAATCATATAATAGTCAAGTCTGGCCCTGTACATCAATAACTTGTGATAATGTGCTAATCTAATCTGTGTTCACAATCGTGGGATTTTAAAAGCATCCAGCTGATGCTCAGTTGTTGCAAGTGTCAGCTGCTCTCAGGACAGTTATGCTGCTGCTTTGGAAGTTGACTGGCATATAATCCCAGCATAGACAACAGAATTCTGTGCCTTCATCTTCAGTCTGATTAAATATGCCTCATGAAGAGAGAGAAGATGAAGTTTGTTCTTAGTCTGAGGAGAAACTATATCACATTAAAAAAAAAGAGAGAGAAGGCATTGTGCAAACTGGGAGAAGGGCTTGAGAATTGGTGGCACAAGTGCGTTTAGAGCAGTGTGCTTGCTGAGTCCCTGCCAGGTAGACACAAGTAGCTCCAGGTGAGGATCCTGGCTCTTTGCCTCATGATTTAGTGCTCTGCCAGACATCACTGTCCAGGCTTCTTCTTCTTCTGTGACCGAAGCTATATGTTAGAATTGTTTCCTCTGGTGTTCCCCAACACCAGTGAACATCTCTCCAGAGAAAATGCCTTTCAAAATTTCAACTTCACATCTGTTAGGCAAAAGATGGCTTATTCTAATTTGGTTTGTTCTATTTTTCTCTATCCTTAGGTTTAGGCAGGAACTGTGGACCTTGCAAAGTTAACAGCCCTGGTAAGTATGTCTTTAGCAAAGTTAATTTCGTATTTCACTTTCATTATTAATGGCTTTTGCAGTGATTTGAAATACAGAATAATATTAGCAGGGCTTTTTCAGTTAAAACATGGAGACCTGTTTTAGTATATCCAGAAACATGTGGTGCTTTGTGTCAGAGGAGTTTTTTTCTGTTTCCAATTACTCCTAAAGACAACAGCTCCTAAGTATTTTGGTACTTGAACTCCCAAGTTCCTTTGTCACCTCCTCAGAGGCCTCAAAAGAGTTAAGGCCCTTATGCAATTATTAGTTCTCGGGCAAAGTTTTGCAGTAGAACAGAAACATGCATTTCAGTCTGAGTTACCATATTGCATTGATTAGACAAATGGTCATCCAGATCCCCTCAAAGCTGTATATCAAAGTGATATGATTAGCACACTTTATCATCTCAACCTCTGACACATCCACATGGATTTCTGTTGAAATACTCACCTGGCAGTGGAAGAAAGTGGAAGATTATTAGCATTTAACTATTTGGTTGTCCCAAGGTCTCATTTCTGAATTCCTGTTTATTATTTGGTATTTATTATATTACTTAAAAATTCTTGCAAGGGTCTCTGTGAATGGCCCCAGAACCAGTGCTAGGAGTCCAAGGTGCACTGGGGAATTGCGGATTGAAAACTTGTAGATTTCATTCGGGATCTTTTTCCTTCCCTGGAACTTATGTATGTGTGCATTATTTGTTCAAAGAATTTCTGTGAAACATCCACCCTGGTATTTCACTGTGGCAAGCAAGGCAAATGGAATGATTTGGTAGAAAACAGCTAGGATTATCGCTCCTGGCTCTTTCAGGTATTTAGGTCTATGTTGAGATAAGGTGTGGAGCTCTCTGTGTCAAAATCTGTCAGGTTGCACCACAACTTTCTCATGGCCTTAGGGTCAGGCTTCTCTTGGGTTGAAACAAGGAGGGGCTACCAAAGGTGTTACATGAGTGAAATGGAAGGCATGTAGAGTGTGTGAGGAATTCTACCATTTCATTTTTTGAGAGCTTGGCAGATGATTAGACTGATTTTTTTATCCTTTTTTTTCCTCCCCTCCTTGGTACTTCCTTGGTAGTTAGGATAATAATTGCTTTGAAATGTGGAGGTAGCTACATGCACTATGAGTGGCACATGTATGATTAGGAATAGTAGAACTGGTCCAGCTAAATGCCAGCATGGGCAAGTTTCCTGTGGTGGTTTGGTAATTTCAAGGTAAATTTTAGCCCCCACAGAGCTCCATGTTATTATATCTGTGCTGTTCTTTGTACCTAAGCTTATCTGCTGCTAAGTCAGAAGTATCTCTGCATCCTATTAGTTTTAGGGTGATTACATGTCTAACAAGGTATGAAAAGGAGTTTTGGGACCAGGGGCAAGCAGTTTGGCTGCTTCCTCCTTCCTCTCTTAGCAGTGGTCCTGCTACCCCTTACACATTAGCCTGGCTGGGTGACAGCAATCACATGAATTGTTAGCCATGAGTGTGCTGTGGTGCAGGGCATACACAGGATGAGAAGTGAAGATCATAATGCTTCTATGAGCACTTCTTATCTGCCTTGTTGAAGTTGCCAATCCTCAGGAGAGCTGCTGCAGGTGAGCCACCTCACCTGGCCCATGCCTTCTTGGTGATGCATTTGTCTAAATGTTTTCAAGGCTCCAAACTCAACCAAATGAATGAAGGCTGTTAATATACTGGAACACCCTTCTGAATAAAAACTTACTTTGCCTAGAGTAAGGTTCTACTGAGTAGCGCTTCAGGTTGAGGCAAAGCAGTACCTTTGATCTTGGAGGTGTTGCTGGCTGCCTTAACTTTTTCAGTTTCATACAAGATACAGATTTCAGTATTGCAAACAGGAAGGAGCTGCTTGCTGGACTGCTCAAAGGACTGCTCTGAAGTCCTTTGATGCTGGAACATATCCCTGTCCTTGGCCAGACCTTCTCTGGCAGAACCTCTGCAAATCTGGAGCTGCTGTCCAAGAAGTTTTCCCTGGCATTCAAGAAGGAGCTTGCCTGAAGTCTAATGTGTATAGTATCTACAGACTTGGTCTGTTACCTTAACTTCCATATGAATTTGTGGGCAGTGTTGTAGAAGAGCTGCTGAGCATTTCAGGTGTTGGCAGATTTGTAGGACTTAATTGGTGAATGCCTACTGATTAAATTGTTAGTTGGTTGGTTTTGGTTTTTTTAAAATTGAAGGTGTGTCAATCCAAGTAAGCTGAGCAACACGAATTTCCACAGTAAGTGCCCTTGGGAAGTACAATTCATGTGACTGTTCCTGGTGTCCCTTTTTCTGTTTGCATCACAAATATTGCAGTGAAAAACTCATTGTGAAACTTAGGAATAGTGATTCCAGAGGCTGTTACAGAGTACTCAGAACAGACAGGCTGGGTATTTGTAAGCTTAACTCTTTGCTTTGGAAAGTCTGATTCCAGTTGTAATACAATATGCATGTTTCAGTTTTATAGATGGGAGAGAAGCAATTCAATTAGCCAGTAACTATATCCCATGTGATATATGAACCCATCTAAATACAATTTGTATTTAAATACCCACAGCAACTGCTCATGGACTGATAAAGAATTATCCTTGACTGGTCTCAACAGATCATTTTGATTTATGAACGCAGAACCACTTGAATCTGCTCATGAACAGGAATACACAAATTGAACTGAATGCCTTATTTAATACAGGGAACTCGCAAGATATCTGTAAACACTGGCATAGCCTTAGTAGTAGCTCCTGCATCTTTTGTAGCAGACTTTGGAGATATTCTTTAACAAACAGCTCATAGTATTTGGGACTCTAAATTTAAACTCATCTTGAATTAAAGGAAGAAGTTCATCAGTAAATTTCTACTTGGAATAGGCACTTCAAAAGCCTTGAAATAAATGCAAAAGGAACAAGAGTTTCTCTAAATCCTGTATCCTGGTGGGCACAGCCTGAAAGGTTTTGAAATCAGGTTTTATAAAGATTTTATATCAGTGAAATAGGTTCTTCTTCACTGGTGTGAAAAAAATTCCCCAGTATTAAAGGAGGAATATCCACTTCCAAAATACCTGAATGGTTTTATTTAGATAAAAAAGCACCAACTTCTAAAACCTCTTTTGTTCTCTTTTTTCATCAGTTCCTTCTGTATGTCATTCTTGAAAATATATGTCGGTAGTGATCTTCCTCAGTGACACCTTTACATAGTTACCAGATGTAGACATGCTGCAAATAGCTCACTCTGTGTAGGTCTGCCAGGGCTTCCCAACCTTGACAATGAGCTGTAAGTGAACTGGAAGGAAGGCTGTCAAGGGATTCCTGCCAAAGAGATCCAAGCTGCAATCTGCTGAAAGCATCCTGTCTGAGTACCCTGAGCTTGCTTGGAGTTAATTTTTTCTCTCAAGATCATGCTTTTAGGTGGAAGACTCTTGGAAATCCTGATTTAGCATTCTGCTGACTATGCCAATTTGTCCCAATTGAGTGGCTTAGGTAGCTTAAAGAATCACTGTCACAGGTATTGAGAAAAGTAAGTTTTACTATAAATGTGTGAAAGTGCAACAAAGTTCAATGGCAATATTCACTCTATTATTTACTAGGTAAATGGAGCATACAAAGGAATATTGGCTTAAAATCACTAGAATGATTTGCCTGGAGACCAGGGATGCAAGTGATGAGGGTGCAAAGGGAAGGAAGACCTTCCCATAGAGCCACAAGATTCAGAGTGGACACCATTGAAAAACTGAGACCTGATCAATGTTTCATGCTTAAAGGATTTAAGTAGTACTTAATCAATTAACTAATGCAGCATTTATAAAGTAATTCAATAAAATTGACTAAAATTGCAGTAGTTACTTAATCATCGTTCCGAGATGTCAGTGTTTATGCTGTACTTGCTCTAGGGTATTTAATCAATTCACACACATGCATGCACACAGACACAATGAAGTGTGTGCAGAAGTACCTGTGAAAAATTCCCTCTGATTTCAGTCAAATATCTGTGTCGAGTGCCTTGGCTTTTCTCAGCACTTGAGGCTCAAGAAGTGAGACTTTATCCACCTCTGCCCTGTCTTCAGCTTTCTCATAAACAAGAGTTTGCACGCTCTGAGAGCCATCTCCCATTCAAAGGCAGATTCTGGTCCAGGCAAGCTCAAAGGGCCTCACTTAGGACCCCTATTTATAGGGTAGCAAGATGTAATCTGTAAATTTCCATTCTCAGTCGGTAATGACTGGAGTTTCCAAAACAATTTCAAATTGTTTCCAATAAAATTTCAATTTGTTTCCAAAACTCCAGCCACAATGGTATTGTTCCCCTTGGGTTATGGTTCCAGGAAAGTCCCAAGGCTGTAAGTGGGGGACTGACTGTGCTCTTGTCCTTCATCTCAGGGATGTTCCCAGCTTAACCACACAAGAGTGACCATATGGTCAAGGGAGGCTTGACCAGCCAACTCATCACACAAAGGCCAATGCTCAGTGGGGATTCCTGAGGTTGTAGGGTGGTAGAAAGAAAAGCGTGGCAAGTATGCATCACCACAATAGCTTGAGATAAGAAATGAGGGGTTTTTTATTGTTTAAATGGTTGTGTTTAGCTTTTTAAGGAGGAGTATTTTTTTGTCCTTCTCCATAAGAAGCTAGCTCTGTATCTGTTTTCCTTGACACAGTCCTAGAAAAATTAAGAATGTGGATTGAAGGTTGCAGCCATGAGAGAGCCACAGTGCTGCACCAGCAAGAGCACATGCTTTGCATGCCCGCTACAACTTTGAGCTGTCTTATTGACACAAACTGAGGATGACCTGATTTCTCTACACTCAGTGAGGGGGGTCAGGAGGCCTATAAGGAATTGCCTAGTGACCAGGCCACTTGCTGAAAATGTTTGTTCAGAAATAGTAATTCATACAGAAGCTGCTGTCAGTCACAGCTTTTGCTGTGCTACTTGTGTAACCCTGCATGTTCTTGGGGGCTGAGACACAGAGATTGATTTGCACCACGTTATCGCTGTAATGT